ATAGTATTTTCAAAAATTAATCCATTCTCAAAGAATAAAAACCTGTACTAATGATGGTAAGTACTTGCCACAATTTCTAAATCAACTTGAGGCAACATTATTTCATTGGTCTACTTCTGCCACTTTGAATTTGGAATAAGATGACAAATATGGTGGAAAAATAATGGTAAGAACAAGACTCTGGTCTTTGCTGCCTTCCTATGAAGAGAGGAGGATCACCCGGGTACTTTGAATAGGCTGTTTCCACATCCAAGGGTTATTTCCCGCTAAGACAAACGTACAAGCACAAAAAAGGGGTCCCCTACCCTCTGACTTCTAGGGCATGAACCAGAGACATTTTACTATCACCCGTCCACTTCCCTAAAGGGAAGAAGCCATAAAATGCATTACGGTTAAAAGTAGGAAACTTCCCAAGGTCCAGTTAAGTGCAGCGGTTGATCCCTGCCTGAAGGGAAGAGTAGGTAATAGTGAAAACCCTAATGAACACTTCCACGGCGCTGTGTGCCAAACTGCTTATGCTCAGTCTTAACAACTCTGTGAGGCAGGCACTCTTGTTGTGCCCATTTCAGAAATGAGAAAAGAGGCTCACGGAGGTGATTATTTAGCCAAGGCCACTCAGGTATTAAAAGGCAGTCCAGGGGTCAAGCTGACAATCAGGCTCGAATTTGCGCTTTAGTAAAAAAAAAAAAAAGGTGTTTGGCAATTTTTGAAACTTCAGGACTGGCAACTGGGGAATTAATAGAAAAGGGAATCAACAAAGTCCACACCTCGGAGACACCGCAGGAGCCTGATTTCTTCAGAACGAGAGCGAGAAGCCACCGCCAGTCACCAGTTGCCGGGTGCGCTCCGCACGAGCTCCGGCCGTCGCGGCCCCGCGCGGCGGAAGGGCTTCCGACACTCCCACCGCGCGCGGCGCCGCAACCTCCCTCCTTGGGCCCCTTCCAGGTGGTGTCAGATCGCGAGCGTCCAGGAGGGGGCGGGACTTCCGTCTCCGTCTAGCCAATTCCGGCTGCACCGGAAATAACTATTGAAAAAAGGATTAAGGATACGGCCACCTCAAGTTCCTGACGGGTCTTGTGGTCCACACCTGGGAAGGAAAACTGCGCTGGGGTCATCTGTTCACTGCCAAGTTTTCGGGGTAGTGGAAACCAGGACATGGACAGCCGCTTGCAGGAGAGAAGCTACGGCGACAGCTCCTCGCGCAGCAGGTCTGCGACCCAGCGAGAGATCGCGAACGCGCGTGCGCGCCCGCCCTCTTCCCTCCGATTGCCCTTCTCTTTTCCCTCCCTACCTGCCGCTCTGCAGTCTCTGCTGGTCCCTGGACCTACCCACACATATCGCTCAAAACTCCTTAGTGTCCCGAGTTTTTTCCATTTCGTGCCGCGGTTATTGAGGTAGCGCTAAGCCGAGCGCCTCCACTGGTCTTCAGCACCCTTTCTGGAATACCCGCCAGTGCCTAGCACCATGCTCAGTGATGGGGATACAGAGAGGAGGTCTTTGGGAATAAGGTACCTCAGTTCACGCAGGCAAAAGTGACTTCTTGTCCTCTAAACCTCGCTTCACTGTTTAAAAGGTCTTCTGTGCCTTGCCTCGCCTTGTTGTCAGCGCTCATTTCTTGAGTTTGTGGCTTTGTTGTGAAAAAGGTTTACAGTATTTTCTTTGGGATCGTGCCTCAAGACTGCATTGGGAGTAGCTTGAGTATAAATTTTAGATGCTTCATCTTGTGTGTTACAGTCCACTTGCTATGTATAGTATTCTCGTCATCACCTAAAGCTAATATTTGACTTCTTGGTATCAGTCACCACAAACCTCTGAGAAAGGCAGTATTATTTACACTTACCGGAGAATGAAACAGAGGTTCTAGAGGTTAAGTAAATTTTTCCCCAGGTCACTTACCCCAGCGCCAAAAAATTGAACCCAGGTTTGTCTCACTAAAGCTTGTCTGCTTCATGTGTATGAATGAATTAACATTTTCAGATCAGTAGAGTCACATGCGAATTTGCGGATACCTTCAAGTCAGAGGCTGTATTTTCCATTCTACCATTAAGATCAGTTAAAGTGATGGAGGTAATGTTACTGCTATTTTTTCCATAATAAATCTTGTTGTAAATAAAAATCTGAAATGTATCCTCTTTTATGACTTGGTGAAAAGTTATATGTTATAGTGTTAAAAATGTGGGAATTTGGAATCATCTGTTTTGTCCCTTTGGCATTCTGATCTTACGCAAATCAAGAATCTTTTCCAAGCCTTTTTGCTCACTCACTTTACTATATTACCTTCAAAAATGTTCATTTTTTTTACCATCAAGTAAATACCCTTAAGTTTTGAATTCAAACCTCTATTTGACTCAACATAACTTATAAACAATTATTTGTTGAGTGTCTTACTATGTGCTAGGGGCACTGATAGGCATTGGCAATTCAACTATGAATAATAGGTAGTCCCTACCCTCAAAAACCATAGAAAGTACATAAAATTTAATAATGGCTGTCATTTTAAAGTCCCTTGTATGTGTCAAGACTCTGGTAAGCTTTTTATGTTCTGTCTTCACTTGTGTAAGTCAGATGCTATCTGCATTTTATAGATGAAGAAAATAGAGCTCCAAGAATTTAGCTAACATTATGAAGGCCACAAAGCTGGTAAGTTTGCATGCTGCAGTTTTAGGTCTGTGTTCTTTCCAGTATACCTCGCTGCCTACTGGTCTTCTAATTGGATAAGTAAGGATGTCTGAAATCAGTGACAGGCTTCCACTTTGCCAACTAAGGTTTTCTTTCTCTTACTTTTTCCCATATGAATGAGACAAACTGGTTCATTTCCCTCCAGAATGTGGTTTGTGCAATATATACTTAATGATTTTTTTAAAAAAATTGTCTTCCTTCCTTTCTGATTTCTGTTTATCCTGTATGGCACAACTCAGGTTAAAACTTAGTGATGAAACCTATTCTGATCTCCCTGGCCTAGGTACTTCTTCCTCTGAGCTTTGATTGTCCTTGCAATCTGCAACTTATTGTCATACCAGATATAAGCATTCTGAGTGCATTATTTGCATTTAATTCCTGTTGGGTTAATCTTCTACCCTAATTTTGTTTTTTCCTAAAGTAAGCTTTAAATAAACATTTATTGATCGATGAACTACCAGACTAGAACACAACTCAGTCAGTGTGTATAATTTGGTTGATTTGCCTTTATCTGGCGGATGATTGTATTTTGCAGAATAATTCCTGTTGGGTCAATCTTCGACCCTAACTTTGTAGAACTGTCAACTAGAATTTGCATTACCATTTTTTAGGTATTAGGTATACACACAGTTCAAATTGTGTGTATAATAACTGTATAAAGACTTGGCTTGATAAAACTGGATAGATACTTATTAAAGCATGGGAGAAGGTATAAGGCACAGGCTGATGGACATGTTGTTTGACATAGTGCCTGCCACATTATAAATGCTACACAGTAGCTGCTTTTTTTTTTGTTACTGCTACTACTAAACTGTTTTATTATTTACTTTAAAACTAGAGGATTGACTAGTGTCTTAATTTCAAATATAACTGAAACTGTAAAATGTTTTTCAGCTGCCAAAATCATTATTAACATGGTTTTGTTCTAAGGTACTTACCATTTTTCCTGCAAGGTAATTAATCCATTTGCCTGCTGAGGTAAAACTGGAAAGCTGGAAAGGCTGTCCCATTGCATTGTTACTTAAGTTTTGGTTTTTGCTTTTTTTCAGTTGGGAGCTGAAAGTGCTGACAGCATTGGTGCTGTGTTAAACAGTAAAGATGAGCAGAGAGAAATTGCTGAAACGTACAGGTCTGTTGAACAGTTTTTTTTAGTGACAGGACAATATTGTGAAATGATTGTTGTTTTAATATATAATCCTATGTATGAAGTATGTTGTTGTAACAAGCATCAAAATAAAGATCTCAGAAACACTGGTTCTTACTGTTCATCAATCAGAAAATACTTATTTCCTGAATAGTAAGTTCTCATTTATAAAGTAGTTAGGAAATGAAAAATTAGAGTAAGAATTCACTTATATACCACAAATAATTATATTTTAAAATTTCTTATAAAACACATTTTACCCTAAAAATTGTATTCATAATTAGTTCATAAAGCATTTCATAGTTTTTCAGTATTCTAGTAATCAATTTGATTATCAGTTTTGCTTAAGACTGATTAGAATGATAGATAATATAGGAGTTTCTTTTTGCCATATAGCCATTATGAAAGCTTATTTTCTCATTTGGTTGCTTACTAATAAAAATAAAATGCAGAATTATCAATCAGGTTTTTTGATATTAAGATTTGTAAACTGAGTGAATAGATACTGTTTAATCAAGAAACAAGTGCCTTGTTCTGTTTTTATAACCTGTTATTTAATATTGTTAATAGATGAATGTCTGTATCTTATATAAATATTTCAGTGTGATAGTTTAGCTTTAATTTTCAGGGCTTCCTATGATACTTCTGCTCCACATGCAAAAATGCAAGTATCAGGTTGAAGAAGAGACAGACGAAGACAAAGTGGGAGAATATAATGCAAGTAGAGAGTGAGACGATTTTATGGTCATGAAAAATAAGTCCTTACAATAATAGATTCTTATGCAGGAAAAAATTTAATGGAAAGCTGAATTTTAAAATGTCTAAAATAATTGTCAGTAGCATATGTATAATTTTCATTTAAGAGGTGTGTGGATTAAATTAGGCAACATATAAAAAGCACTTAACGTAATGCCTACTCAGCAGTGGGCAATAATATTCTTAAATAAAAGTAATGAGGAGTTAGGTGTATCAGACACTGGATAATTGGATTAACTTTCAAGAGGCTACAATACTTTTTTCAGTTGTGTTATTCACATAGGGTAATTCAATTAAACTATTTTAAGAATTCATGGGCCAGACAACTGTAGAACCATTCTGAAAGAGGCCCAAGGAAAAAACCCAACTTCTAAACTTGTAATTGTAGTATTTAGTTGAAAAGAAAGTACTGTGGACAAAA